TGAGCACTCCAGTGATGTATCTCCTACCCATCTTCAGTGTCTCGTTTAGATTCCCCAGAGGAACTGAGCAATTTTAGATTGCTATTAATGTCACCAATTTGAGGCATCTATCTTAGGAAGGCATAAATTATGCTCTTCAATTATCTGTGTTCCACAGTGAGGTATGAAAGGAAACCTAGACATTTAACTCATACATAGACATAAGCCATGTAGTCTTGTAGGGTGGGATTCCTCTACAGTACTGACACCTGAGTGAACTGAGTTCATGTGAGCTGTTCTCTGAATACTTGTTACAATCAAGAGAAAGGTAATAAATGCAGTCAGTGAAGGGAAGTGTTCTAAGTTTGCATTTATTTGTTAGTTAAGGAAAATCTTTCTTGTTTGTCTCATCAGGAGACAAGGTCGTGCTAGGACTGAGTTAGAAGGCAATCTCAGACAGATCACTCCAGGTTGGTTTTATACCCTTTTTCAGGGCAATCCTCAGCTCACTATTCAGCTAGCTGCTGCAGGCTGCTCCAGCATCTCTCCTTAGAAATTCATTCGCAGAAAAATTGCCAGAGGAAAATCCTCTTGAGGGAATTACAGTCATCATAACATCCAGCCCTGTGAGCACCACACTCTTCCACTCTTCTTCAGGCTCCATGAGTCTGTGCATGAGGTCTAAAAATCAGAATTCTTTTGTAAATTAAATGGCATTTTTCAATGTGTCAGACCTTTAAATAATGGTTAAGTGTATTTTTGAGGAGCCAGAGGGATCTGTGTCACTGAGAGTATAAACCTGATTTTAATGACTGCAGATTTTAAAACCTGTCAAAACAGTTAAAGAATGATCATTAAAGTAATATTGAGTTAGCCGTTGTTTATTCCCAGTGGCTTTTCCTATAGCAAAAGTAGTTATCAGGCAGTGAAAGGTCAATGAGTTTAAATTAGATTAAAGAGTATTTCTAGTTCATTCTGGCTTTACAGAAAATGTGTGCTTGATCCATGTAATTGACTGCATTTACACACTTCTGTAAGGCATTATATAAATATTTGGAACATCCTGCATGCGTCCGACATGTGGATGAACATCTTCAAGCTCCTGAGATGTCTTGCAATTCTGTCTATAGTAGTGTCATTGTATAAAATATATGTGCATGTCTGCATTAAGTTTTACAGGCTCCTAAAATTTAATCTCTCTTCCGCTGCTTAAAAATTTGCCAGCCAGAGGTCAACTTCCTCCCAGAGTAGATTCCTGTGATTGCCAGCAGTTTTTCTTACTCTGTCCTCTTTACACTATACAGTGCTTGTTTTAATCATACTCCAGCAATGGTAAGGTTGAATCTTGCTGGGCAAGTTTCCTCTGTAGGTGAGATGACTAGCATCCATGGTGATCACCTGAAGGAACCTTCAACTCAGTGACTTTAGGATTTTGCAGTTGAACACAGATATTTATATACTTTTGTTCAGTCAAAAGAATCTGAGATTACTGCAGATATTCACACTTTATCACTTTATATTTTTCCAGCAGTTGCTGAAAATCCTGTGGAATCCTTCAGAGTCAAACCTAACCTGAACTTGTTTAAATAGATTTTTTTTTTTTTTTTTTTGTGAACTGGAATTTAACTTGAAGTATTTGTCTCTTGTCTCCACTGGTCCTGAACCAGCCTGACTAAATATTTATTTTCAGCCATTGGCTTAGAAAAACATTGGCATAAAATCTGATATCCTTCAATGAGAACCTGTTGAGCAATGTTTCTTTTCTAGGCTGGCTAAGGAAAGCAGTTTCCTGGAGAAATCAGTTATATTTTAATGCCTGTTCTGGTGGCAACAGTAGACTATTATGGCCAACAGCATGCTCTGAGTGCCAGTAGGAGAAGTAAGCCTGGCTTTCATCAGTTGTTACTAGAAATTTATGCATTATGTATCCTTTGTGTTGAAATGCTTGGGAATTGATTGACGGCAAGGGGTGAAATGAGCTGATGGTGCTCTTGCCCTTCCTTCTGGTAATCACTATCTCTCTTAGTAAAACTCTGCAACTTCTTATGTTCCCTATGCAGCAAAATAACACAGCTTCTCCCTTAGTCAGTCCTTCAATACCCAATGGATATTTAGGAAATTAAAGAAAATGTGCAAGCCCATGTAGCAGGAATGTGAGTGGTGTGCCAGATCTGGCAGAGGTGCTGGAAATAATTGCCAAAGTTAGCTGAAGAATCACCTTGGTGAAATGAGCCTTCTTTTTTTTTTTTTTTTTTTCTTTTTTTAGTTTCAGAATAGCAGTTTAATTATTAGTTTTGCCCTGAACAATTAACTGAAGTGGGACAATTTCACTCAGAAATTAATCTGAATCAGAACTGATTTGAAAAATGTGGAGCTTTTTGTTCTTAATCTTTGTACCACTCTGTGGGAGAAACAGAGCCTTGGTGGTCTTAGACTTTGGGAAACAAGGACTCCTTCTCAGCCTGTTGTGGTAATGAAATGGAGAGTGCTGTGAGGAGTTGCATAATCTCTAAATAGTACTTCCGGGGCTTGTTTGCTTCAGAGACCCATGGAACACAAGGAAAAATTTCTACAGCATAAAAATATAGTGTGATGTAATTCAAGATTTCAACATCATGAGAATAGCCAAAGGATAGAGTTAAGGCTATATGTGAAACCTTTACTTCACAATTTCCTGGCAGTCAGAGGTTTAATTTTATAACTTCAGTTATATATACTCTTGTAATTTTTTTCCTACTGGCATTTCAAATAGTTTTATTAGAAAGAGAGAAAAAGTCCCAGGCACTACAAAGCTTCAGTCCAGATCTGTGCATGGGGGGCATTTCTTTTAGTCAGTAAAATTTGGAAAGACAACCACTTGTTGAAATAAAATCAGAGGTGATAAGAACAGGAAGGCAGACAGACCAAATGCCTACTCACCAGTTATTTACCAGCACAATTAGATGGAGTTACTGGAGCTGAAGAAAGCAAAAAGCAAAGGAGGATTAGTGTTAGCTGCATATTCAAGTATCTCCCTTGGCTGGCAGTAGGCAATGATATAGTTTTTTTCAAAAAAGAAAGTGAAAAGTGCTTATTACATTTAACTGCAGTATGCTGCCTGAAGAAACTGAAAGCCATTCATCCGTGCCAGTGCAGACCAGTGTGCTTGGCAGTGTTCATGCTCACAAGGGGAGGCTCCAACAGCCTAGAAAATGCTGTGTACTAGAGTGCACAGAAATATGCTTAGCATCTGGTGTGAGCACAGCGAATGCATCATAACACATCACCAGGAACCAGCAGTGTATCCCAGGGATCCTTACTGGATCCATTCCTGTTCAACATCTTCATTGAATGTCTGGATGACAGGGCAGAGTGTACTCTCACCATGTTTGCTGATGACACAAAACTAGGAGGAGTGGATACGCTAGGGGGTTGTGGTGCCACCCAGAGGGACCTCTGCAGGCTGGAGGAATGGGCTGACAGGGACCTACCTCATGCAGTTCATCAAGGGTGAGTGCAAAGTCCCACACCTGGGAAGGAACAGCTTCAGGCACTTGTACATGCTGGAGGTCAGGAGCTGGAAAGCAGCTTTTCAGAAAAGGGTCTAGGACACCTAGCTGACCATTAGCCAGCAGTGTGCCCTTGTGGCACACCTGGACTACTGTGTCCAATTCTGGACTGTCCACTATAAGAGGGATGTGGAAGGCCACTAGGATGATTTAGGGACCGTGGCATTCCTTATGGGAGGAAATGCTCAGAGAGAGCATACATAGAGAACTGGGACTGTTTAGCCTGGAAGAGCTTTTCAGGGTCAGGGAGATCTCATCGGTGTGTATGAATACCTGAAGGGAGGCTGTAGAGAAGGTGAAGCTGAGTCCTTTTCAGTGGTGCCCAGTGACAGAACAAGAGGCCATGGGCACAAATTGAAACACTGCAGGTTCCTTCTGAACATCAGGAAACACTTTTACTTTGAGGGTGACCAAGCACTTGCACAGACTGCCCAGAGAAGTTGTGGAGTATTTATCCTTGGAGGTTTTCAAAAGATATCTGGACAACCAGCTGCTGTTCTGGGCAACCAGCTGCTGATAACCCTACTTGAGCAGGGGAGTTGGACCAGATGGCCTCCAGAGGTCACTTCCAACCTCAACCATTCTGTGGTTCTGTGATTCTATAATCATGCTTTGAAGCCACAAGATCACGTTAAACTTTTGCTGAATGGCAATACAAAGCGTGTTCTACATGTACTTTTGACATAAATTATCTCCGAAGAGATCTTTGGTAGTACAATAGTTTTACATAGTTCAGACATTAGTTGGGTTCTTTACCATGTGATAACTCTAATGGAAATAGGTTTTAAAGGCAACCCTTTCTTAGCACAGATGACTCATGCAAAAAACCCTGCCTGTGTCCCACTCTTCACTGAGTGTCTACTGCTCCAGTTGTTTCCCTGAATCTCTGAAGTGATGAGATGGGTGAATTTGCATGAGTGATGAAAGCAGCTGAGGACAGTGCTCTGCAGGCCAGTAAATATACCATTGTGAGGATTCATGAGTCTGAAAATCACAGCATAGGCAGAGTTCAGTAAGAACACAGGCTGGGGTGGTTGGTCTTTTCTTCAACATATTTCTTCTATATTCTCTTTAAAGTTTGTTGATTGGGGTAAGGATTTGTAGTCAAGTGGGATGGCCCTTGGCACAGCGTGTTAAAAAGAGAGAAGGCTTTTACTTTAAGTATGCTGTTACCCACTGCTAAAGAAATAAGCATTTGTAGTTTCCTTTGCCTAGAACTAGTGCCAGCAAAAGGTTATACTGAAGAAAGCTTAGACTGTGACCAATATTTTCTAAAACCATTAATATGGATTTTCTGATATACTTGTTTGTAAACAAAAAGTGTGGAGCTTTTCATACCATTTCTCTGTGAAAATGAATAAGATCAGAGGTTGATATTGCAAGGCAGTTTTTATTTCTACCAGCTTTTTAATTTATGATCGTAAGCACTGCTTTACTGTAAATGCTCAAAAGTATTTTAATTCTCTTTCACAGCTGCAAAGATTTTTTGAGATATTCTTCAAAAACAGTTCTCCCCAACAAGCCTTCAACAACATGAAGGAGGCTATAAGCAAACTTCTACTTGTAACTGAGGTCTTCAGTGAATCATCTGCCTCAGGACCAAATTCTTTCAATCAGTAAGTGACTTGCAGTAGTCGTTGTAATTCTAGTGTAGTGCAAGATAACTCCTTAGAACACAACAAAAATTGTAGAGGATACACAACTCCTAAAATAAAAAATACCCCTCTATTTCATACTTCTATGTAAAGTAAGGACATGCATTTAAAGAGTAAACTTCTTCAATATCCACAGTGTTTCCAGTTTGTGAAAAGGTTATGAATACGTAGGACCAGATGCTTTGTCCTGAAGTGTTTCAGGCAGCACAAATGAACAGAAATCACTCACAATTTGGCTAGTCCTAACATATATAAAGCTGTATTTCCTTTCAGTGAGCCTTCTGTCATATGTCAAATATTTAATGCTTGAATATCCCAAATGGTTTAGAGCTGGCAACCTGAACAAGAGACACTCTAGAATACCTTATGAAATGTACCTTATGAAATACACCTAGACACCAGCAGTCGTATTTCTGTGTGCAATGACTTCCATTAGAGTGTTATAGTTCTTACACATAAATCAACCTCTATTATGTAATATTTTTACTAATTAAAATTAATATTTGTTCTATTTATGTTATGTCCCATCCCTGACATTTTTATGATTAATACTAAATAAGTCACTATTTACTACATTTATGTGTTTTATAAAATTATTTTGAGAACCCAGGTGTTTTAGTGGCAGTAATGTAAAGCTCATTATTTGCCTTTCACAGCTGAGAATAAAGCTTACATTGTGAGTGGAGAGGGTAGCAAGGAGGGGAGGAGTGTAATGGGAATAAAATTATTTTGACAGTGGGCCAAGCTCTCTTTTTTACCAATGGGATGGACTCTCTTTTTTGTGTAATACAAGACTGGCTTAGAGCTCCTGGTCCATGCCTTCAAACATCCCCATAGCTGCGGCAGAACTCTTTAGCTTCAATGAGCCTGCAGAGTTTCACCATCAACTACCCTCCAAATGTCTTTAAACCTTTGGAAGACCTCATTCTCTTCAAAAGACATTTCCCCCTTTAGTATAATTCACCTCCCTCACTGGTTTAACTGGCAATCATATAATAATACACTTTTATATAGCACTTTTATATCAGCTCACAATCTGACTCCATATATGATTAATACTGCTGGCTCTTGGAAGTTTTATTTAGTCTGTGTTACATGCTGTCTTTTGACCTCTGTGGGCATGTTCTTGTGTGTGTTCTCTCGACCTGTGTGTGTATAGCATTTTATCATATGTATTGGACATGGTTCAGTCGTCAACTTGTCAGTGTTGGGTTTATGACTGAATTCAATGATCTTAAAAGTCTTTTGCAACATAAATGACTCTGTGATTTTGTATTTCACAGCAGTACCTAATCTCACTGAATCTGATTCCTGTTATATTGTATTTCAGATGCAGCCAGTGCTTTCAAATGCTAACCTTTGACATTGGATTCGGCATGTCAATATACCCAGTAGTTCTTGAGGTGAGGAAATTACACCAATTATTGTGTGACCCCAAAAAAATACACCAAGAAGGACACAGCAGGAAACCCTCTTTGATAGGTACTCTCAAATCTATAAGAAATATACAAATACTTTAACATTAATTTTACCTAAATATGGAGAGTTGCTATGGCACAAACCAGTTTTTAAGAGTTGGAGTTTCTGTGATAAAGTTCACCACACCATGACATGTGCAAAACCCACAGGGAGCCTTGCATGACAGTAGAGGTAGGTTTTAAACATGACAGAACAAAGATGTAGGAACGAAGTTAAAGTACCACAGCTGGCCTTCAGTTCTCCATAAATTGTAATGTACTCCTGCAGTTCATGATCTTCTTTGACCTCCACTGTGCTGTCTTCTTTCTGGATGATCTTCAAGGCCCTCAAAACCAGGGAAATGTGACCTGTACCAGTTTTTGTACCACTCTTGCCTCAGAACATCCTGCCCTGAAACAAATACTTTACTACTTTCCAGCTGCTTCTCATTACCCCTGAATACACATATGAATATGTATACACCTAGGTATATAAAATGTTTGTCCATATTTGTGACATGCAAAAATTAAGAAAAAAAATTGTAAATATACCCTTACTTAAAATCTGTTCAAGTTTCCAGCAAAAACAGTGCCATCATTCTCTCCATTCTTCAGAAAAAAAATCCTTTAAACACGTAGGAAAAATGGAGACATAAAAGCAATTTTGCACAATTTAAAAAAATCCATGAAGACAATATCCTTAAATAGTCTGAAAGGACTTTTTTAGCTAGTATAAAAAATGTGACATGTCGTAAGAATTCAATAATTGTATACCAGGCTGTAAAAAATTCTACTAGAAATGCTTAAAAAACTAAACATAAAACGTAATGTTTACCTGCATGTGTAGGACTTTCAACCATTATCCACAAGGCATAAATGTACAGTAAATCAGTAGGATTTAATAGTCTCTTACGAAAATAAAAATTGCTCTAAAAAATAACAATTGACAATTAATGGTACATTTGACTTTGAATAGTATCCCTTGGAAACTGTAGCATGCACACACCCTGTGCATCTTGAGGTTATATTTGGGTCTATGCTAAAATAATGGCTTAGTCGTATTTTATAAACCTTATTTTTTTATTTTATTTATATTGTTTAAATTATCATTTTATCTGTATTAACCCTAAATACCTGAGTTTTGCAAGAGTTATGTTAACATAAAAACCTTTTTTTTTTTTTTTTTTTTTTTTTTAATAAACTTATAAGTCTAACGTACGAGAAAGCTCACATGGCACTGCAACACTGCACTCTGTCCACTGGAGGGCAGAAAACATTGCGGTATGAAGTTGTGATAGAAAATGTGGCACACGGTTATAGTTTTATAATCCCGTCAGTTGTGTTATTATTACATTTTTTAAATAAATAGTTCTAGTGTAGTATATATGTAGTTATGAGGAGACTGGACTTGTTATTCAAACTGTAAATTCTTATATTTTTTTCCAACAGGTGCACGAAAACTTTGACTTTCAAGATGAGGATGAATCAAGTATTCGGGACCAAACTTTCAAAGAACTTATTTTTGAAGATACTTTTAAATTTCTCTTATCTAATGAATCCTCAACATCCAGTTTCATTGAAGTTTTGCAAAAAATATATAGATCAACTGTGAGTTCCTTACAGCTTTTTCTTATTATTGACTATTTGAAAACATTTAATTTTAAATTGTGTGCTTCTCTGAAATTGCTGATGCCTTATAGAAATTATGGAAAGAAGGGTTTATTTCATCAAAAAATATCTATTATTGTATTCTTGGAAATAAAACTGCAATTATATTAAACAATGGAAGTTCCTTTTGTTAAAATTTGACTCTCAACGTATGTCATTCCCCAAAATACTGTGCTTTAAACATATATTTAAAACTTTATTGAAACAATTTTCCCACCATTTTTTAAATGTTGATGTACGGATTTGTGTATTTTCACAATTTTACCCTGAATTAATTAACTCACACAAGTAAGTTCATGAGCATCAGAATTAAATTTTGTGTCCTACAATTTTGTCTTTTATTCTGAATGCAATATACTTCTTTTTTTTTTTT